AAAAAAAATCCAGAAGTACTTGGCTCAGATCTGAAAAATCTAGAAAAAATTATCTCGAGTCCAAGAAAGCAGCAGTCTAAACTTATAAAAGTCAATAATCTTCTGGAACTTTAAGTGCAATAATGTACCTGAAGTTTTTGGTAAATTCATTTTGTTATTATGTTTGAGATAAGTATTATATTTTAGCCACAAGGAACTGCCAACAGAAAATATTTCTCATCATTAAGATACTTACCAGCAATCTGTTCTTCAGTCAGCTGATCAGCCTACATGAAGAATAGAACATTTTAGAACATTGTTTACCTCTGGCTATGCCAAACTATGAAACACCTGACTTACTTTAAAATTTCAGCAGTAATGCATTATTACATTTACAAAGCAACTCTTAACCCCTCAAATCCTGCCTCTGAAAGACAAGATTCCACTAACCAACAAAAGGTCATGTTTCTGGAACCAAATAAACTAGCTTTCTCCCCCCACCCGAAACTGCACATTAAGAAAGTGCCACCAGCCTTCATCTCAAGGGTCCAAGTTGGTGAAGCAAAGGGCACGTGGCAAGCGCCTCGTCGCTGCTCAGGGAGGCACGAAATCCTTCGTGACGCGTTTAGGAGGCTCACATCACATCAGATGTCATTCCCAGAAGGATACTGACCCCAATACAGCAGAGGGGCATTTACACATTGTTGGGCTAGTGCCACCTAGTGATCCAACACCACTGACTTGTCCGTTCCCCCTCGAGCCTCCCCAACATCTTCACCAAATACCACCCTACAGCACAGGAAATGGGAAGGACTAAGGAACTGCAGCAGCACAAGGCATTAATGCTCAGTATTAGAGACTTCTGCCATCTCGGAGAAGAGCGCTGTCATGTACCATTACACTTGTTTTGCCATTTAAAAGCCTTAGCGTTTAACAAGGCTGTCTTCTACCATACGTAGGCTGCTTTAAAACTCATTTTAAGTGGCAGAAGTTAAAATGCTTGCCCATGACCTTCTAAATTAAGAGGCCACTGCTGCATCCAAAGATTTACACATGGGGGGCAATTAAGCAGGCTTATCCTGACACTAGCCATGATCTTCCAGAAGTCTCTCTTCTTTAAGGACACCACAACAGCTCTGTTACATGGACTTAAAAGTGCTAAACACCTTTAATACAACAAAATACACATTTCCTAATCACTTAGAAAGGAGGGAAAAAAATACACACATATTCCACATACATACTTGAAGATGCTAGAGAATACAACATAGTATCTCTTTTTAACCTCACTTTATAGGACAAGTACCAAGATAATTTTATAGGTCAGAAGGCAGGGATCCTGTAACCCCTCTTTTGTCCTAACACCAAGCACAAAGCCCCTTTGGTGACGCTGAATACCAACAGATACAATGGAAGAATTAACAGGCTATATGATCTGTTGGGGTCTGGAGCAGGGGAACAGGGTAGCACTGAAAGGTCGGTGAGGGTATTAGATGACACACAGTTCCTCTATCTGGAGGTTTTCAAAATATCTTTTAATTCCTGCATGTAGTGATTAAGTAACCCCCACAACCTCACATCGATTACCAGCAAGAGAGAAAAGATGGGTTGGCATTTCTCAGCTCTTATTAAATAACTGCAGAAAACTCGGCTCTGAAACCCGATGCGGGTTTACGCATTTCCGCTTCCCCGTAAACGGGCGCCTTTCCCCCCCGGGGCTACCGAAGGGACCGACATGACGAGCGGGAGAGGAAGGGCCGCGCCTCGCCAGAGGCCCCGCG